TGGTCTTAAGACCGGTCTTAAGACCAAGACCAACTTCGAGTACCACAACACTGTCTTCAGCTTTACTGTAAACACTCAAAATCTGGTGGAGAAATATTCAAACTGTGGCATGCTTAATGTGGAAAAATATTATCAAAGAAGAGAATAATGAGGAGGAATATATTAAAATGAACAACCACAGTAAAATTATTAATAGCAATCCTAAGCATAACATCAGAAATTTATGTTTTGTTTTAGTCACTCTGTGATACTGGGTCTTGCATTAAGCACACATGCATCAACATACACATTGAGTCATTTCAAGAACAATCCCTGTCCTTTCTCTCACTTCCAAGGTCTTTGAGCAGATACACAGAACCACCTTAGTGTTGCTGATGCACTTCTTGCTCTCTTCATTTCCTTCTTCCTTCCCATTCTTCTTCCCGTAGAAAAAGGACCAAAACCCAATCACAGGTCGCCTCCATATCCCCCGATGTTGTGTACACCCACCCACCTGCAGTAAACAAACACACATATGCAACTGCACCCGGTGTGATTAGAAAAAAACATGCGGTGACCTTGTTGGTACTCCTGTGCTGAAATATAAATCTGCCCACGAGCCTCCATAGCTGCGTTGCCATGGTGAAGTATATTAGTAATCTGAAGCCCGTCCACGTGGGCTTCTTTGGAATCACTGAGGCAGACATGCTTTGAATATTAATTTGTCTCTTACAGTTGGTATGCTATCCTAAAAGACTGCATAACACATATTTTTGGAATATTTATTTTCTAAGCACATTTTAGGATCACAGTGAGGGAATTTCAGCATAAAGCACAAATCAAAAAATGTTAAAGTGTGACACCATCTCAGTAATATTCTTTAAATTTAACTTCAGAAACTTCACTACATTTCCTGGGGTAAATCATAAGTTAAAGAAAAGAGGTTTTAGGTTTCATACTGGTTTCCTATTAACTTTATTAGTTTTTCTGACAGTTGTTGCAGACGTTCAAAGTAACAGCCTTTAATCAGACCAGAGTTAATGGTTTCCTCTGGGAAAGTTCCAAGCTGTAAAGTTAGTTTTTAGAAGTCACACTGTGAACTAGGTTTACTTTCATTTGCTGCCTATAAACGCATCTATGATAATGCTCCGGTTGTTAGCACTGTAATTATGATAAGACTAACTTTAGTTTATCTCAGCAGTGACTTTACTGAAATTCATCAAGGTAATATTTTGACAAATTCTACAATTGTGTTTTTCTGGGGTTTTTTGTTTGTTTTTTCACCATAGTAAAAAAAAAAATATTTCACTCATATTTTATTTTTTTTTGCACATCTTTCACCACCATGCTAAAATTTGCATATTGTGCTTTTACATAGCTAATTGACAGTGGATATAAAGGCTACACAGTTTTAAAAAAATTACAAATAAAAATCTGATTTGTGTGGCATGCAAATGCGTTCAGCCTTGTTTACTCTGATGCCAATAAATAACATATAGTGCAACTGATCACGGATTTTTTTATTTTTGTGGGTCAAACTACTAATGAAATGCATCAGGCTTCTGTGTAAACAATTTATGACCCACATGAACAGAAGCATGTTCATGTGGGTTATGAAGCAATAATGACAGCTTACGCATCATTTATCTATTTATTTTTATAATCACGATTGTATTCTAGCAAGTAGATGAAAAAACACGTATTTCTGCTTTTTTTCAAGCTGCCATTTCTTTTGAGAAAAACATCTGGTTAATGTTTTTTATAGCTGACCTTGGATGCATGGGCAGATTTTCCATGCAAATGTTTTATTTATGCTGTTTTACTATGTTCTTCCATACTCTCACTGATTTTCAAAGATAAACACTCACATGTTACCTTCCTCAAGGGCATGGGAAGTGAAAGTTGATGATGAACCTCATGTTGTTATCCTGAGCTTTCAATTGCACAGAGGAACAGTTTTGAAAACATTATGTCCTTCCTTATACAGTCACACATCATGATTTCTTCTTTTTTCGTCAAACACTGGTTCCAAAACACTTTGCTCCCACAAAATCTGCTGTTGTGAGAGGACGAGTTCATTAAGACGGCTGAAGCTGGATAAAACTGCTGTGAGAAACATTTTGTGAAGAAAAGATAAAACTATTCTTCTCAAAACAGTCAGCACATGGGTTTTTTCTGTAGTTCTAGTATTATATGTTTCGACTGGTGTATGACTGTAGACAAAAAAAAAAGGGATACAATTTTGGCTTGTTCTTATCTAGAGAACCAGACAATATTGCATATTAAGCTCCTCTGCCCACCCTCAAGGACTTCATTCTTTTGAACTTACTTCAACTCAAAGCCATTTTGTCTGCTCTCCATCGCTTTATTCAGCTCTGATTGCATTAATCAGAACACATCTTATCAGTGCTGACCCTCTTATTCTATTAACTTCCACCACATCTATGTTTAGAAAGCAACAGAAGACAGACACTCTCTTCGTGCTGCATCGTTCTACAGTGTGTGGCCGAGGTGCAACTGGGCACACAGAAGTTAATTTTCAGTTTATTTTGTCCCTTTATGATGAAAGTAAAAAGAGGAAGCTTCAACTGTGAAAACAGGACATGTCATATGACTGACTTAAAATCCTCCAGTAACGTTACTTTAGCATTTAGTTTCATATCCTCTAAACAACTGTGGTGTCACTGAGGATTAACTTCTGCTGCAAACGATGTGTTTGCTTACTTTTGACAATCTGCAACCCAGTAGCAACTGGACATCTTCAGTTTTGTGAAAGGACTAACACCTTATACAAACAAGCGTATTTTAATGTGTCACATTTTTCTAAACCATAACTAGGTCAATTTTCCAGTGATATATGTGAAAAATGTGTACGACGCACAAGTCTTGTCCTTGCCATTCTGCGAGTTTGTCCGCCTCGCCCTTGTTTTCTGTTGCTTTCACTTTATGACACGCCCACAAAGGCACACACATGTCCACACACACGTACACCGACTGTTCTCGCACACTCTGTGAAAAACAAGGCCTGAATGAACACTTACTGATGTGATCAGCGTTAGGGCTCGGGGAAGGCAGGAATGTGCAGACGAAACAACATCTCAGTCACAGCTGGCTTGACAGGTCCATATGTAGCTTCTTCTCTGTGAACGCTTTTCTTCCCCTGACCTTCCCATATAAGTGTAACATTTTATTTCACATGCATAATATGTGCATGCTTCTGTGGTTTAAAATCCAAAGTGTGTCTACATTAGTCCAAGTATTTTATGTACAGTATCTACTTCTTTTTTTTCTCCTTTACTTATTATTTTTGGATAAAAAATAGCCTCTAACCAGAAAAAGGAAAGCAATATTGTCAGCTGTGTGCTTAATTTACTCACGACAGTGGATGCATGAGACTGAGGGAATGAGGGAAACTGTTTGTCCGCACAAGTGCTGGCATTCATGTGTCAGTGCAGCACAGTACGTGTCTATGAAAGGGAGAGATCCCGAGTGGGAGAAAGAGATAAAAAGAAAGAATGGCAGGGATTATGAGGGGTATGCTGCTGTGAATAAGCTAAACCAGTGAGCCTCATTGGTCAGATTAGTTGTTTCCACCACAAAAGATGGAATTTACAGCTATGAGAGGCTGTAAACCCGGAGATTAGGTCTGTTGGGCTACACAGCGCCAGGCCTCGAGGCAGCCTTTTCACTCGGCTTGTTGGAAGAGCGGAGGCATGTGTCATGTGGATTGTGTTTGGGAGACGGGGCGGCTGACATTGTGGTTCTGTCATGCGCGGCCAAGTGAACCTATGAGAGGCCCCATAGGCCAAAACCTACAAACTCTCTTACACGTACTATCAAACTCTGGTACACTCGCTATCAAACTCTCACATTCGCTATCAAACTCTTACATTCGCTATCAAACTCTTACATTCGCTATCAAACTCTT